TCTGGAAGAAGCAAATCATTTCATTCTGATTTTAGAATTTAAACACTTTTGGTCTTAAGTGCTCTTCTTTTTCTTTTGACTTTTGTCAAATATGCAATTCCATTTTTTCAAGGATTTGGACAGGAAACATTCTGTTAATAATTTTATTATTAATCACCTTAACAGATTTCAGAAGACTCTTAAACTTACATTTTCTTTTTTTTTTTTAATTTTTTTTTCAACATTTATTTATTTTTGGGACAGAGAGAGACAGAGCATGAACGGGGGAGGGGCAGAGAGAGAGGGAGACACAGAATCGGAAACAGGCTCCAGGCTCTGAGCCATCAGCCCAGAGCCTGACGTGGGGCTCGAACTCATGGACCGCAAGATCGTGACCTGGCTGAAGTCGGATGCTTAACCGACTGCGCCACCCAGGCGCCCCTTAAACTTACATTTTCAAAGTAAAAAACAAGTTGTTGTTTTTCCACAAAAGTTTGGATTTTACCCCTCATTTCACCTCCTAAAAAAGAAATTGTGATCCCTTCTTGGTTCTTCATTAACTTAATCTGGAGTTAATAAACCCCATTTAAATTTTTTGAGAATAATCATTTAATAAATAATATATTTTAAAAATAATTATCTGCATTATCCTAGTAGTTTTACTGATTTTAATACTCACCAACTTTCTTCCCTCATTCTTTTCTTCTTAATTTTGGTTCATTTTGGTAATGTAGTGATTATATTCAAATAATTTTTTTCTATAAAGGGCACGTAAGTAGTGAATTGCAGACCACAGATGTTTTTTTGTTACCTTCACATGTGGATGACTGGAAAAATCCTGAACTAAAAACTCTGCTCCATTCCAGCTGGCATTTAATGTATAAAACAGGATCTTCATTTAGACTTGAGCCTTTTTTTTTTAGATCAAGATTTCTCCTATTAAAACTACTACCTAATTTGTTTTGTTGTTTTCTTTGGGAACACTTATTATTCAAAGGATAAATTTTTGTAACCAGCCTTTTAAATCTGTACTTTTTCTCTCTCACTGAACTCATCTGAAAGGGCTTTTTACCCTGGTGCTTTGGTTTACTGTCACATCTTTAAGCTGCAGAATCCCTTAAAGGAAAGCTTATTAAGCACAATATAGAACACTGAAGGCAGCTCTGATCTGGTTGATAAACAAGTGGTGGGGAACCCCCTCCATCTTTCCTTTGTTGGTTCATGAGAACCCACAGGGTTCTGAAAACCAGTGGGATACTCACTGGTCCTCATTTAAGGCTAAATTTTCTTTAGCACTGTGGCTACTTACTTTTTAAAATGTTATTTATTTAATGTTTTTAATGTTTAATGCTTATTTATTTTGAGAGAGAGGGAGAAGGAGAGGGGGAGGGGAAGGGGGAGGGGGGGGGGGGGGAAGAGAGAAAGAGAGAGAGAGAGAGAGAGAGAGAGAGAAAGAGAGAATCCCTAGTAGGCTCTTTGCAATCAGCACAGAGCCTGATGTGGGGCTCGAACTCATGAATGGATGGCCTCAGCCAAAACCAAGAGTTGGACCCTTAACCAACTGAGACCCCAGGCACCCCTTATTTACCGCTTCTGACACAAATTTTAATATGGCTTCTCCCTTTCTTTACTCTCTTACTCTTCCACCCTCATCATCATAATGCTCTGTTGCACCAGGGTGGGAGCTGAAGCAAATATTTTCTAGTATTTCTTGCTATACATGCACTGGAAAAACAAAGAAAGCCCTTCATTCTAAGTGCCTCAGGATATTGCTCTTCTCTCATACTGCAGAAGTGTCTGCCCCATTAGCCTCATGCTGATCTTGCTTTAATTCATTTAAGAAACAAAAACTTTAATTGAAGTAGAAGATACATTTTAAAAATGCATAAGCCATTAAGAGTACAGCTCAAAAAGTTATCACAAAGTTATAGGGGGGCGCCTGGGTGGCGCAGTCGGTTAAGCGTCCGACTTCAGCCAGGTCACGATCTCGCGGTCCGTGAGTTTGAGCCCCGCGTCGGGCTCTGGGCTGACAGCTCAGAGCCTGGAGCCTGTTTCGGATTCTGTGTCTCCCTCTCTCTCTGCCCCTCCCCTGTTCATGCTCTGTCTCTCTCTGTCCCCAAAATAAATAAATGTTGAAAAAAAAAATTAAAAAACAAAACAAAACAAAAAAAAACCCAAAAAACAAAGTTATCGCCACGCTGGTGAAGACATTACCAGCACACCATAAACCCCCTTTCTCACCCCTTCCCACTCCATTCTGCCTAAAAGTATATTTTGCTTGTTTTTGAACTGTTTTATAGTGGGAATCATATACACATTTTTTGTTGGCTTGTTTCTTCTAGTAACATCATATTTATAAGACTCATCCAAATTATTGGGGCACCTGGGTGGCTCAGCCAGTTAAGTGTCTGACTATGGCTCACATCAGGATTCTCATGGTTCGTGGGTTCCAGTCCTGCATTGGGCTCTGTGCTGACAGCTCGGAGCCTGGAGCCTGCTTCGGATTCTGTGTCTCCCTCCCTCTCTTGGCCCCTCCCCTCACTCGCACTCTGTCTCTCAAAAATGAATACGTTAAAATTTTTTTTTTTAAAAATCATCCCAATTATTACATTTAGCAAATTAGCTCATGTCCTTGTTACAGAGTAGTATCTCATGTATGCATTCTGTTGACACTGCATTGTTTCCACTTTGAGGTTATGAATAATGCTAAGAATATCCTTCTATTTTTTTGTATACATACGTTCTTATCTCTGTTGCTTACATGCTTAGAAGTAGACTTATTGAATTGCAGGTAGCTGTATGTTTCAACATTAGTAGGTATTTGTCAAGCATTTCCAAAGTGGTTGAACCAATTTACAGTAACACTGGCAGTTTATGAGAGTTCCTGCTGTTCCAAATTCTCACCAACACTGGTATTGTCAATATCTTAATTTTTGCTAAACAGTTGTAAGGATATCTTTCTAGAGTTTTAATGTGCATTTCCTTGATGACTAATATGGCTGGACATTTAACAGATTTAAATTTTATTCTTAAATTTACATTACCTGTCAAACTAAAAAAGAGTATTTTAATGTTATCTTTATAAAAGATAAGAAATTTACCCAATTCTTCCTTCCTCTGCCAGAAAAAAACAAAACAAAACAAACACACACAAAAAAACTGTGATCGCTTCTTGGCCTTCTTTGTGAAACACTGGCTCATATCTCTTGTCCTTTTAGTTACTCATTTCTCAACGAGGACATATTCAGTTAGGCCAATTGCAGAATCCTCAGAATCCAAGGATTGCAATTCTGAGGATTGCTTTCAGGTCTTTTTCAGCCCACTCAGGTGCCAATGCTGATCCAGCTGGTGGTCAGAAACGTTAATCCCATTTAATTCCTCCAGAAAACCCAACTAAGTCCATCGGACATAGGATTAGTGTAGATGAAGGTAAGGAATTTCCTTAAAATACGACCGAAGTTCTTAGGAAAGATGGCTGGAAAGAACACCTTTCTTAAAAGAATCTTGCTCTAAGTATTCTACATCTGTTAATGGATAGAGGCTAAGAGATCTTTTTGGATCCCTTTGTTGCCCTTGTCATTACTCTTCCCTTTTATGACTACACCCCCTCACCCCACCCCTAGGTGAATGACAGCTGTGGTTCTCTTGGTTAAGGAAAAGCTCCAAGATTGTACAGCTTTAGTGCCACTAGTTAAGAATCCGAATGGGGCTTTCAGTAGCTGTCTCAAATGATTAGTACAGCCTTCTTATACATAGGATAATAAGCAATGTTAGATGATGAGAAGCTAAGGTGTCATCTTGCTTTACCAACAAGCTGTTTTGATGTGGATTCTGAGTCAGCCGTTTTTTAAAATTCCACCCCTTATAGCTTTCCTTGGTAAAAATTCCTTCTAGTTTCCACTACTCTTACCCAAGTTTCTATGAATAACATTAACTTTTTTATTTGAATGTTTCACGGGTATTTTTGCAGAAAACTGGGATAGGAGTGTTGCAGGTGTTTGTATTTATACTGCCTTTATTATTATTATTTTTTTCCTAGATGAGAAAACAGGTCCAGAAAGGTGATGTTGGTATAATGTATGAAACTTGCTCTTGGGGGAACTGGAGTTAACAATAAGATCAGGGCGCCCGGTTGCTCAGTTGGTTGAGTATCCGACTTGATTGCAGCTCAGGTCATAATCTTGTGGTCATGGGATTGAGCCGTGTCAGGCTCTGCACTGACAGCATGGAACCTGCTTGGGATTCTTGTTCTCCCTCTCTCTCTGCCCCCCCCTCCCCCCTGCTCACACTCATGCTCTCTCACAAAATAAATAAACTTAAAAAAAAAATCTAGAAGACATTGTACATTCCTATATTACAAGTAACTGAAAGTTACTAAGTAGAAGTACATTGCTAATCTTTCAGGATGACATAAAGGGAATCTACTTTCATTCCGGGGGGCCCCCCCCCCCATTATTTCCTTGAGTTACAGCAGTGAAATAAAACCCGGCTAGGTGAAAGATGAGACTGCATTACAGTGCCTAGGATTCCAAGATTCAGGGTAAATGTGAAAGGGAATGAAACCTGCTAGGAGTTTCTGGGGGAAGGATTAAGCCAAAACACTACTTAATGGTAGATGGGCCTTAGCAAGAGTTTGTGATAGTAAAACAGAGATGGGTACTATATCTCCAAGTATGTTCTTTTCTTGCCATTGTTGGCCCATTTCTGACATTGCCAATGCAGGTCAGCCAGTTCCAGTTTTCAGCAACTACTTCAGATTCTTCCTAAAGTCAGTCCTACAAGTAACAAATCGTAATCTTCTCTACTGTCCCCCAAATGTCACATTCTTAAGTTACTAATGTACTAATGTAGAAGAGGAAGGAAGTCTCTTGTGCCAAAGGATCAATAATTTAAGAATGTAAAAACTATTTTCTAGTGCCAAAACCTGATATAACAGACTTTACCAAGGATGAACGGAAAAAATTAAATGATGTATTTTTATACAGCAGATCTTCCACTAAATAAGTGTGATTTTAATTCGATGACTTTAGATTACTTTAATTCTTCTTTTAGCATTAAACAAACAAAAAATAACAGAACCAACACAAAAACCCTTTAAGAACTCTGTGCTAATGAATGCTACCACCTGTGTATTACTAACGCTGAAAAATGGTAATATGGAAGCAAGAAAATCAGTTAGCAGCAACAGCATTTACCTACAAAATCAGAAATGGAGTAGAAGCAGGAAAATAAGAGTATAGATTCATAGGAGTATCTGTAAGTACTTTGGTTACCCTTTAGTGCTCAATAATTTCCCAATTTCTAAGGAAAACAGTACTCGTTTTTTCACACAGTTCCTGATTTCTGTATTTCAAATACAAATGATATTGCTAAAACAGTCTCCTGGTGCCTTCCTTCCACCACTTCTGCAGCAGTATTGTCAGAAAGGCAGTCTCCAGGGTGCTGTAGTGGCTGCAGCCTTACTCAGCTGGCAGGTTAACCAGCTCACGTGGACCTTGACATCTGATATTGGCTGCAATTCATACGAAACAGTCATAGGATTCCCTTCTCCTGTGATAAACACTCAAATGGATTTTCATAGGGCCTGGTAACTTTCTCAAAGTATAATGGGTCCTCCATATTCTACTGAGGACAAGTCTTTTCTACCTTAAATATAGTGAAAACATGGTCAGTATAATGAATGAACTGCAATTTCATATGTTAACTAAATATTTCTATCTGATCCCCTGGTTATACCATACCTTCAGTTCCCAGGATCCAAGTGTTCTTGAGTTACTGTTTCTAGAAAAGGAAATAATGCAATCCATTTATTAGAATTCAGATACTGAAATGAAACTTACCTAATAAGGATGACCTTTATGTTATCTCTCTTTACTGAAATCATATGTAAAGCTAGTTGCTATGATTTTAATAGAGCTTACTAACCACATACAAAAAAGATCAAACTTGCAGGTGGCTATACCTCTGGATGGAAAGGCTATATAAATATTTAATTTATTCTTGACCTCACTGAATTTTAGTTTTATGCAAATAAGAAGTTACTGAAAATTCAACTGCACCTATAAATCAACAGTTTTTGGGTGCACCAAAAAAACATTCATTTTATAATAAGATTCACTTTAGGATTGTAAAAATACTCAGATACATACACATATATTTCTGTACTCTTGTGAGCATTCTTTTTTCATTTTTTTAAACACTCATGATCAATAAGGACATCACCTTCATGCTTTGTCATTTAAAAAGAATGACATATATACCCATATTTCTTTAGAGCCAAAATCTTTGATGGTAATTTATGAAAATAATTCACTTCAAAATAAAAGTAAATAAAAAATAAAATTAGGTAGAAGCTTTGGGTGGCAAAAAGCAAATAATTACCATCCTATGCAAAAATATCAAAAAATATTTGCTAATATGAAAAAGCCAGCCTGATACCTTGTTATTTGTAAGACTGTTTTTCAATTTCTCATTGTAATTAATGTTTAACTGATATTAAAGCAGATGCTTAATTCTAAAAAATGCTTAAGGTAAAAAGACTTAGGAACTTCTCAACGTCTTACTTTTACAATAGTCCAACTTAATGTCCAATATATGGAATCTCTTTAGGCTAGTATACTGAAAAGACAATGTCATTGACTACCCTTTCAAAATCACTTAGGGAGCTTACTGAGACACTCACCCCCAAACCTGAAAACTCAGTGTACCTGTATTTTAAACAAATACCTGAGGTATTCTTGGTAGACACTTAAGTTTAAGAACCACTGCTTTACCCAATACAAATCCTGTCATTTCATGCTCAGGGCCTTAAATAACATCTGAATGCTGTAGTTCACTGTTTCTGAGTAGCAATGTTTATCACCACCTAGTGGTAAAATCCCTTATTTTACCTCCTATCTGTTCATTGATATCACATAGGTACCAAGTAAAAGAGAATAAAATTCAGGGAATGAGAAAATTTTAGAGTAATAATTTCCTTAGTATTTTGCATTAATTTTTCATCTATGCTGGGATAACAGGGCATAAAAAGTAAACTTATAAATAAAACCACACCATTATCATTGAATAAAAACAGTATATATGCTAGAAGAAACTTTCCTAAAACACATCCGTTGTAACAAACTAAGGGTTGATGGGGGGTGGGAGGGAGGAGAGGGTGGGTGATGGGTATTGAGGAGGGCACCTTTTGGGATGAGCACTGGGTGTTGTATGGAAACCAATTTGACAATAAATTTCATATATAAATAAAACAAACAAACAAACAAAAAACACATCCGGTGTTATATCATTGCCCTGTGTGCCTCTAAAAACACATTTCACAGTGCAAATTATGCTCTTCTTTTGGAAATACAGGGACGGAACATATTAGCATATTAAAGCCTCTGGGAAGTTTCATGATCGAAAAAATCTGTGCAATAATAACTATTTTCTAAATGTATTTGACCATGAAAACTTCTTCCCTAAAGAATAACGGACTTCTCTGAAGACATTAGTACTTCAAGGAACATAGCTTGGACATGATGCTCTAGAAACAACAAATCTGATACCTGCTTTCAGCATCTGTAACCTACAGTAAAAGACCTGACAATGAATTTACAAGAAAGTTTTGATCAGGCTTTGTTTTAAATGCTATTTATATTTGAACCACATATTTGAAAGAGAAATTTATTGATCTGAATTGCTTAACATTTTTTTTTTAAATTAAAGAAATACACACCTAATAAAAACTCCACTATGTTGGCAATTTTAGTAACTGACATATGCAACGCATTTAAGGATCTGAATATAGTATTATGTTCTTATACCCAAAGTGGATTTGAGAAGTAAACATTTAAGTGAATACGTAAGTACTAGATTATTAAATGCTATTTCTTAGGTTCTAGAACTTCATCTTAAGAAAAACGTGACATTCTGACTTTTCAAAATAAAGTTTTAAGGCTCACCTGCAAGAGAACTGAGACATGCAGTTGGAAAACACAACAGACGGTTGCACTGTAAAAGCAGTGTTTCGTAGGCAGAGAACAATTCTCCAAGTCTCTTTAGAATTAATGTGAAGGAATCAAGGAAATATATCTGCATAAGACACTTTACTGAAACCACAACTGTTTGCTGAAAACTGGCTGACATTAAATGCAGCATGGACAAGTTGGAATTACTTAATGCAAATAGAAAATCTGGAGGGCAGGAGGGTGTGAGAGCTGAAAGAGCTGAATCACCTGAAAGATTCAGCTTCTTCTGTTTGACCCAGTGAAAAACCTAAAGACTAATAGGTGATTAATTGTAGGGAGTCATATTTTGTCAATTATGAGGATGCAATGGACTCAGGTATGACTTAAGAGAACTCCCTTCCTACTTTTACACTGTTTAGATTAACCAGCTGGCAGGAATATTTCTGGGAATATTCAAACATCACTTGAGTGGTAGAGACTGATAACCTGTAGGGCACCATTTGGTTCCAATCCATGAAAATGGAACTACGCGTGCAGTAAATGAGCTTAGGATGAATAAGTCTACTTGTTCATAATCAATCAACTCTCCTTACTTAGGTTTTTCATTTTGAATGAGAATATTTGCTTCCTTTATAAAATGTGCCCTTTGGGAGCCTGGGTGGCTCAGTTGGTTAAGCGACTAACTCTTGATTTCAGCTTAAATCATGATCTCGCAGTCCTGAGATAGGAGCGCCGCACTGGGCTCCAGGCTGGGTGTGGAGCCTCCTTAAGATTCTCTCTCCCTTTGTCCCTCCTGCATGTGCTCACACATACTCTCTCTCTCTCTCAAAATAAATAAAAATATGCTCTTTGGTTCACAAAGATTCCATTCTCATTCAGTAAGCCCTGCCTGGGAAGAGGAGATTGAAAGTTTTATCTCAATTTACTAAAATTACCAATTCAAAAAAAGAATTTTCAACTTTTAAATGGAGAGATGTCAAACTATGCAATACTCTATTACGCCCAGTGAACTTAATCTTTTATTATTTTTAGTTTAACTCAGAATGTGGAAGGCATGAGGAGGTACTTCAATGGTTTTAATAACTGCATACCATTTATAATATCTTTAAGATGCTGAGTTTTTGATTTAGATACACCTTTTTGATACACATCATTCACCTCAATAGCAGCTAAACATTTTCCTTGGATTTTCAAAATACAAGCATAGTAGGGTCTTAATCTTTAATCTTTTTTTGAAATGACTATTCTATCATAATCTGTTCTGAAATTACATGTTATATTTTTGCAGTGACCATTATATCTTGTATTTATAAAGGGAAAATGTCCACCCTCTCGCAAGGCCACTGATATTTATTTAAACTTATCAACAACTTAAAACTTTTTTTAATCACCGTTGCTCTATAATCTTAAAAGATCTTTACAAAATTACCAACAAATTTTGGTGTAACTATAAAATATAGTCTAAAATATTTCTAATAATGTATTTTGGTTCTTGACTTAAAGTGTAAGTAGCCAATCTGGATGTGTAGGTTGAGCAATTACCATATTTTATTGAATCTAAGATGCAACTGACTGAAGGAAGCACTTTTGCGTTCTGTTGAGAAATAAAAACAGGTTGTCAACTACAGTATGGCACATAATTGGTATTAAGATGTTTCCAATTTGAGAAGTGTAAAAATGTGAAAAAATGTGCATCTCAAAATCAATGAAATATGTCATTTAGTAAAATTCTAAACATTGTTGTATTCTTTATTCTCTTCTTTCACATAAATAAGGCATGATTTAGTCAAGCAAAGAAAACTTTATTTCTGCTACACATAACAACATATTGCTCTAAGAAACAACTATTATATTAGTTTTAGCACTGACGTGTGGATTCAAAAATTCATGTCAACAATTCGTGCTCCCCAGACAAAACAATGTTGTGCACAGACTATCAGGTATATGAAAAAAAAAGCTGTCAACTGTCCACAGGGAGTGCGTCCAGTCACATTTTCAGTCAGTCAGCTGAGGATTATGTCATTATTTAGTCTTTGTTCTGTAGAAAGAACACAACACAAGTATGAAAATCATCACCTGAAAGGAAACAGCTGTTGTATATAGTATTCCTATAATTATAATGTTAGGAATTTCCTGTATTTCAAAGTAACCAATGTTATCTGCTTACTTAATCATAGACACCCCAAAATAAGCAAAACCAAACTTACTCAGAAGGATGATGTAAACAGGTACTGAATTTCTGGAGGGAAAATGCTGTGAATTAATATAAAATCAGGATGCTCTGAAATACTAAAATGTTTATTTTCCTCAAATAGAAAGAGAAACATATTTTGCACATCAAACCCAGCTCAGAATAGAACTCAATTACTTTCAAAATTGTACTCAGTTTTTCCTATTTTATAGGTGTAGCTCACCTAATCCTAGGCCTATTCCTTAGAGATAAAAGGAACCAACCTTTGAGTGGTGCTGGTGTCTTCTTGAAATTAAGGAAACAAACAAAAAAATGCTTCCCCCTCCAAGAATTTCAATTTTCATGTAAAACTTGGTAAACTTTCTCATTATTTTATTGAACCTTAAAATATGTACATTTACTTAATATACCAACAAAGGAGGAGAATCATTGGAGTCCACAGTAAATAGGAAATCTACAGCAAAAATAAATTTAAAAACATTTAAAGCTAATATAGCTGATTATTTCCCACTATTTCCAGCTAACCTGACCCTATTTTATCTTTGCTCTGAATAAGTACTTGCAAAACATTATTTTTATAAAGACTTCTGCTGATTCATTTCTCTCACTAACCCTATTAAAAAAATCAGACTCAGGAAGGTGAAGAGGTCTGTCCAATCACAGTCAGGTATCAGAGTTAGAATTCCAAGCCAGATCTTCTGATTTTTAAGTATAATATTTTTGTATTATATAAATAATCACCAGGAAAGGCTCATCCACAAGAGTAATTCATACATTTTCCCCATAATAAAAACATAGTATTATTGTACTTTTTTAAGGACAAAGATTCTTTGAATAAAATAATTGTTACCTACATATTAAAATATCCAAAGACACAAACACATTTTTGTGTGCTATTTTAGAAGACAGCTGGCTAACCAGAATTCAGGTCTTAACATTTTATTTGTAAACATAAAAAAACAGCTTTAAGAACTTGCTAAGTCATTTTCACTGGCATTTTAATATTTCTACATTGTATGGGGTAATGGGAATGAATTTTACAATTAGATAAAATATTTTAAGACATTTCTAAATTAGGATTATTCACAATGGGTCCAAATATTGCCAAATGCCTTCTAGGTAGGAGGAACTCATCACCTGACTTGCTCTATATTAGAAGGTCATCAGCACTAAGGCATGAGACAATCCATTCTGATACTTGCTAGTTGCCATAATTGGTCGGAAAGAACATTGATGTAAAAAGAAATCTGCTTTCAAGTCAGTACCTTCAAAGTGAATCTAAAGTGCTTGCCAACTGCTATCATTTGACCAGCAGTGGACTTGGAAAGCTGGCGTGTGTGTAAACAGGGAAACTGTCAGCTTCCCCTGAAACTCAGAATTCATTTCCAGAATAAAAAAGTGAAAGAGCTGAACATTTCTACTTTAAAGAATGTCTCCCTAAGCCATGGAGATGTGAGTTGAATTATCACAGAAAAAGAAATTTAAGTTTGATTCTGAAAACTAAAGAAAAAGGAATTCATATGGCTGTATGTACCATTATAATAGATAAAGAGTTTTTGGTAAATTGTCTGGGTTCTTTTTTTAATACAAATATGCATATGAGAATACTTTCTGAATGTGTAGTTTTAATGCACAAACTCACAAATTTAAAAATCCACAAAAAACCAACATTTAAGTTCAAAAGTTCCAAAAACACGTATTATTTGATATTGCTTTTAAGGTATTACACTAGTGAGATGTCAAAACACTCTTTATAAAGGCTATTATAAATTAATTTATAACTCAAGACATTAATCCCTCAACTTAAAAAATCTTTAGAACTATTTCAATTTTAAAAAGTTACATAAGCATATAGTTAAAAGTCTAATTCTTAACATCTAAGACATTCACAAACAAAAAAAGCCACTATTTAATTTTCTATATTGAAATCTGATTTTATTTTATAGAAGGGCAAAAACATTCTCCCAGTAAACATCAAAAACATTTGTTTTAAGTTTACAAAATTCAGGTTTAAAAAATATATTGTGAAATTAACCTGTGCTGTGGTTTTATCAGCCAAGCTTTTTTAAGTCACAAGGCTTTTAACTGATAGCTTCCAAATCCTTAGAAAGAAAACTCTATACGTATTCCTCTGGCTATAATATTTAGCCGGTATGTTTTTAAAATTCAGAGTAAAAAGGGCTTACCTCAAGAATCAGTAAGTTCTCTGTCGTTTGTTAGATTCTTCCCTTGGGGAATCTGCCAACATAACTTTAAGTCTGACTCCATTAAGGATCTTTCCATGTAAAGTAGTAATGGCATCATTGGCGCTTATTCTATCTGCATACTTGGCATACCCCACGTTTTTTCCTGACACAAGGTAAACTTCGATCAGGTTACCAAAACGACTGAAACAAAGTAAAAAAATCAACTGAAATTGGTAAAAATACAACTGCGTAGGTCCCAAAATTGGGGTCCATTCTGGACTCCTTTTCCATTCCTCTCCCCACACCCAATCTGCAAGCCAATCCTCCTTCTCAAGCACGTCCTCTATTAGTCAAGTTCGCCTCATTCTCACTCAGTTCCCCATCCTCATTCAGCCAGTCATGATCTTTTCCTTGGAATACTCAAACACGTTCCTCCCTTGTTTCCCTGCACCCTGGGCTTGTCCCTCTTCAATCTATTCTCTACCCTGTCTTCCCAGTGATCTCTCTAAAATACAGATACGATCATTTCCTCCCCAAAATTCCCTTCCAGGGTAGGGACAAACTCCCTAATGTGGCTTGTGGGCCTTTCTTGACATGGGCCTTGTTTTCTCCTGCTTCACCCTCCCACACAGTCTCTCAAATTCCATATTCTAATGATCTCCTTTCACATTCTCTCTGTAGGAAGAACCATCCGAACGCCCTCCTTTCTTCTATTGCTAAGTTATTATTGTCTATCAGGTCTCTGTTATACCTTGCTTCTTTAAGAAGTCTTCTCAGAGTCTTAAAAGTAGACGCTCCTCTCATGTATTTCATAGCCTGCACATTCCTTTTCACAACACTAACCTCACTAGGCTGTAACAATACCAACTTCAGTAGGCTGTAATATCCTACCTACTTGTCTGTGTCCTATATGAGATTAGCTCTCACAGGACAAGGACCATAATGTCTTACATAATACATTTTGTTTACACAATGTCTCTTGCACACAGCATGGTGACCACCTGGCACAAAGGAGATGCTCAAGAAATAAACTACATGAATCAGTTAAATGAACTACTGATATTTTATGCAGCTGTTCAATGAGTTTCCTGGTGTTTTTTTTTTTTTTAATTCACTAACACTGTTGTAAGGCAAACAGGAAAAAGACCAAAAAGAAAAAAGTTAAGATTCAAGGAGTTCTATTAAAAAAACAAAAATTAACAAGTGCTTTCCCTTTTTCTATATTTATTATATACTCTTCCTTACAATCAGGTAATTGTTTACTCAATATAATTCTTAAGGTTCCAAGAGAGTGTGGACAAAATAGAAGATGCTTAGTAAACTGTTCAGGTGAAATACTACTACAAAGGGAAAGATATGTAACAAGAATTTTAGAAGACAGGTCTATTTTTTACCAAGAAACAAATGATTTGTCCATTTTATGCGTGAAACTTTTCAAAACAATACTGTATGTTTTATGTCTTTAAAAGAAAATCGGAAATTCTGTGTGGAGACTTAGGATATGTAAACAGTAGAGAAGGAAATCATCATATATTTTAAAAGGTCATATAAATAAGGAATTTTTCTAAACTGCAAAACAAATCATTTATACCTGATTAAGTATTGGATATAGAAGTTTCAAGATTGTGAGAGGACTTAAATTACTAGTTTAAATAAATTATATTATAAAACGTAACTTTGTGGAATTGAAATCTTACCAGAAAATATCCTCTAATACATCTAAAGGTAAAGGATGAGGATTAAACACGATAAAAAGTCTTTCTTTCACAGGAGTTTCAGGAGGGGCTTTTTTTTTGCATGATGGAAGTACAACATCTGTCTGGATTTGAGGCAACTGTGATCCAGAATTTCCTCCAAATTGCTGTTGAAGAGTTAGGTACAAAAACAAGAAAAAAGAAAAACTGCACTTTAAGGATTTTAAAGCCAAGAGCTAAAAAGATATATATATCCCAGCTCCTATGTGATCTTTTACTACAGCTCTGAAAATTTTCTTTCCTAGGTAACAAACAGAGGCCACATTTATTACATACCCTATTGATGTACTACAGAGGTTAAATTTTTACCTACTTACCAGAAATTGCTGCTGATTTGGGTTATTCCACACCATTGATGCAAGCTGTGCTGCTACCATCTGCGTTGCCATTTTTCTAAGGAGACTAAAGATAAGAACTGATAATTTACAGAAAACTAGAGATATTTAGTCTCTTACCCGTAACTTGTTTTGTGTGACTTCCTCACCCAAGAGGTCAACTGCTTTCTATTTTTATTCTTCAAGTCATATTATGTACGCCCTGCTTTAGACTCTCCTGAGATGGTACTTACTCTGTTGCATTACTCCCATCATCAATGAAGGAAACACCTATCCGGTTCCCAGGAGGGTACTGAAATCCATGTAACTTGTATTTTGCATAAATAGCTGATGCTACATTAAAATACTGAACCACTCCATGACCTAAAACAAAGTAGAGAACAGGAATTAAAAATAAAAACAAAGAGAATACCTAAAGCCTGTGTTGCCATAAAAATGAAACAATAGAGAAATACCCTAGTATCACACAACCAGTGAATACAGAATCAAATGGGTCAGAAAACGTTCATATATATATATATATATATATATATACACACACACACACACACACACACATATATATACACATATATATATGCAACAGCTGTGTTCCTACAAAGTCTAAACCAGATTTTGTTAACAATATAAACATGATATTTTAAGGGGTGGGGGTGGATAATTTTATACTGGAGTCCTTACATGGAGAGCCCAGGAGCTTATAACACAACCAAAAAAGTTTCCATAATATATTTACAATACAACCCACTTAGGGGGAAACACTGCTATAATTTAAGGGTCCTGTCTAAACCCAAGCATCCCAACATTTTAATGAAATTAAAACTCAGAAAGCAAATGAATATATAAAACCAATTCAGATAGAACTTTATATGATGATTCCTCTATCAATAAAAAAGTGTTCCAATGACACATGTATTTATTTACCAGACACATTCAACCAGAGAAACAATATAGAAGGTGAAGGAACAAATACATTTCAACATAACAGATAAAAGGGAAAGAAATACAGAACAAACAAAATTACATATAACAACAAATGTGCCAGAAAACACAAAATGTGTGCACACAAAATAGAATAAAGAAGAGGTTGAAGATGGTCCGAAGTAGGTTCAGATGCAGTCCTGCTAACAGACCAGGGCTGGGAAGAGTAATAGTGAGCATGTGTGAAGAGTGGCACTACTCTGCTCCAGGCCCGTTAGCCTATATGACCTAACACCTTCCCACTTATGCTCACACCCATGGCACCCTAAAAGCACTACATCAAGTGTATCTATACGCAAGGAACAGATGCCAAGTATGACTTCTCTATACTCCCCTTACCTCAAATTCTTTAAAAGAAACTGACAAGCCCCTTAGACTTACTGAGTGCCTATTATGTGCCAGGACTTGCATTAGGTATTTTACATATAGTATTTCTAATTCTTATCTAACCCTGGTACTGATAGTATTAATAATCCCCTTTTACATATAAAGAAAGAAAGGCCCAGACAGGATAAGCAATTTGCCAAGGTCTCAGAGCTACGTGCCAGCACTGGGATTTCATTTGCACCTGAGTCAGATGCGAAATGGAATGCCAACCATTTTCCATTGTGCCACAATGACTCCATTTCTTAAAAGCCTTAAAAAACAAAAAACAAAAAAAACAAAACAAAAAAAACTTAAAAAATTACAAAGATGGTTAACATGAGATATTAGGTTTAACCGATTAAGTAACAAGTTCAAATGCCTGATAGTAGAGCCTTGCTTCAATTAAGACTGGGAAGATGTAGAGACAGAAAGAGAGCAATTAGATACTTGAAATGAAGGGAAGGAGTTTTTTTGAGGTATAAGCTTAAGAAAAAGATTTAGGGATGAGAAGGAAACTTTAAGGGTTTTATAACTTTGTCTAGCATTAATCAGCAGTACAGAGACTCCATTTTGGCTGCACAAATGGAAACAGAGAATGCTCTATTTTATGAGCGTTAAAATATATATATTTTTTAATTTTTTTAATGTTTATTTATTTTTGAGACAGAGAGAGACAGAGCATGAACAGGGGAGGATCAGAGAGAGGGAGACACAGAATCTGAAACAGGCTCCAGGCTCTGAACTGTCAGCACAGGGCCCGACGCGGGGTTCAAACTCACGGACCGCGAGATCATGACCTGAGCCGAAGTCGGCTGCTTAACTGACTGAGCCACCCAGGCGCCCCTAAAATATTTTTTAAAAATAAATGACTTTGTTTAAAGGAGCTATAATCCCAGGGGGTTATTTATTAAGGTATCGCTGTATTTGAAAATTTAAAGTGGAAAAAAGAAAACAAAATTGCCACACACAGAGTAACTGACATCAAAAGTGCCACTGGAGAAAAGACATTTTATCAAAACACAGTATATTTAAAAATAATAGTCATTATTTTACCATAATTAGAATAAGGATCTCGTTGAACTTCACAGTATTCCAATCCTGGTACTATATCAAAAATACTGAAAAGCTGCTCTTCAGTGAAAGGAACTCTTGATACAACTGACAGGCGTTTGGAGATAGCTTCTTGGCCTCTGTTGTCATTCTTGTCAAAACTTGAAAATTCAGATTGTTGTTCTCCAACAACATAAAAAAAAGTATATCTTTAAATTTCTATACGGTTGAGAATTCACTTAACATTTATGTACTAGAAAGTAAGATGCACTGTCATTGCATTAGAACTTGTCCATTGCATTGGACAAGGAACCGTGTTTTGTCATATGCTCCTGGTCATTAGCACTATCAGAAGGGACCAATGGTGAGGAAACAGAGAATTCTTCCCACTCCCCTGCCTTCAACACAGAAAGTTAAGTAGAAATGTGTAGTCTAACTTCACAGGAATAGGTTTAGTATGCAAAACTACAAAATATGGCAAGTGTTTCATCTAAAAGAAAGTTATGCCAAATAACATTTACAGGTCTTACTTTCATCAATTATTTCCCCCTTCATCTGGCTTCTACTTTTGTCATTCCTCTCCTTTCTCTAGCCCTAGTTTGAAAGCAGCAGTATCTTAGGGATAAAAATCTTAGGACTCATACTGAGGGGACAGAAGTAGATGTCTTTTATACTTTCTGGTTGGCTACACAGAGGCAGAAGCTCACTCAAAAAAGTGGCGTGACATAGTTTAATATCTAGATACATAACTAACCACAGAAAACTACAATTGGAAATATGTTAAATGAGTGTTACATATTAAGGACATGAGAAGTCATGACAAACTTCTCAAAAAAACCCTACTACATTAATTTTTATTCACTAAGTCAGATTTACAGACTAGTGATAAAAGAATATTTTATAAAATCCAAATCAGATTGCATATACTGCTTATACTATTAAAATAAACAATAGCTTACTCACCGAATGGAAACATATTTACTCTAGGTTCATGTCCCAATGTCTCCTGCCTCATGTTATTATAATAGTCTTGTTCTGAGGATTCAGATGCTTTATTTTTAGGTTCAGCCAAGATTGCCCTAAAACCTGAAAAAAGAATCTATGATTTTCAAACTTCACAGCAAATTTAACATACCTGCAAAGATACATTATTGCCAGTGCTTGACTTAGCTTTATAACTATAATTTCATAAAACAAAATCTATACAAAGGCCACCTGCACCAGACCTACTTCTTTGCTTTTTGGAAGATGGCAAAAAATAAATAGAGCGAGAACCCCAAATTATGGGTCAATGTAGACATGCAAAATCAGCAATTCTTTTTCATCCTTTCCAATCTCCCCCTACTACCAAGTAAAATCATCATTCATTCTCCCTGGGTCAACATTAAAATCCTAGAGGGCTTTTCACATTCAACATGTCAGCAAGATTCTTCCTTTAAAATGTATTTAGGAAATGTTATCTTTTATTCTAATTTCCCTGACTTTGTTTCTAAGTTAGATTCCCTTCAATTAATTACAACAACTCTTTAACTGGTCTGCCTATGGAGCAAAGGTTTTAAGTATGGGTTCAAGGATGAGCTTCAAAAGGTGGGAAGGTTCCATGAGCCCTCTGAAACTTTAAACAAAATGCTTATATATGTGCACATGGGCATATTTCAAAGGAGAAGGTTTGTAGCTTCAACCATATTATTCAGTGGCTCTAAAAAGGATAAAACCAGCCACTTTGAATTCTTTCTCTGGAAATCCATCCTTGATACTGTACTTAGATCAACTGTCCAGAAACAGTTATTTTTCTCCTTTTAAAACAATCTACAACGGAATCCTAACATGGACTAAGCTTGAACTCTTCGTGATCTCCCATGTTTGGTGCCAATGTACTTAACATTGTCTCCTAATTTCTCAACAATATTATGTTTTATTCAGATTGCTGCCTTCACAGCATTAAGCAAAGACATGTTTATTTCTATCTCTGGGCCTCTGCAAACACTGATCTCACCTTCTGTCCTAATTTATACCAAATGTAAATCTCACCTCTAGATGTGTTCTTGTGCTCTCAGTGCACTTGTTTTTCACCACTGATGGACCATAGCACACATTTTTGAACATTTCCTCATCTGGCAAATTTTTACTGAGTCTATTATAAATAGCAGTATCTTTGATAGAAATCTCAATAAATCTTTACTGAGGGCCTATAACTGTACTAGGTAGAAGGAGTAACAGAGACAGAAACATAAAACATACTCCCTACTTTCAAAGAGCCTTTTAAAAAATTCTAATATTCTTTAACAATTTTTTACTAGTAGATCTTGGCTACCCAATATAGTTAAACTCCTTAAAAGCTATATATTCCCTCTGTACCTCTTTACTTAACATATTGCCAAGTATACCATAGGTACTCAATTAGTGCTGGCTGATTGAGAAATTTAGAAGGATCTGAGAGAAAATTTTGGTATATATCTTAGGCTTACCTAAGAATTCTAGTGATTAGCAATAATTCTTCAGTACATATAGATCTTCATAATATCCTAAAACCTAGAGTATTCATCATTTCTAAAGGTCAATATAACTAGAAGTATGACAACAAAGAATATCTTCCTTGGCTTCTTTAAAATTCTTATTCTTCATTATGTACACCAACAGCAAAAGATCCAATTAATGTCACTCTAGCTTGAAATTAACCTAATGTACATTTATTTACCTATATGAGCATATATAACACTAAACCCCATCCTTAACCTGTATGTTTATTGGTAAATTTAATTCTATTTAGGGTTTAGGTTAAATATGAACAAATTTTACAGAAAACTTGAGTTTTTTCAATATAAAGAAAAAAAATTTTTTTGAGCCTGAAAGGGTAAGTCAATTTAATACTTAAAAATTTTTAATATTAAAATAAACCCCCAAACCTTAGAAGTAATAACCAAAATATGGTAACACTATTTTCACTTATTAAGTTAATGTAGTTGCCCATATTTTTCTTCAAGATGGCGCCTCAACAAAAGCTTAATCACAGCCCTCAAATACTTTTCATCCCAGGTATATATATATTTAAACTCCCATTGCTAAGATTAAATTAGCAGGTATGGTTATTAGCAAAAACCAGTATTAGATTCCATTATTTAGAATAATTAAAAGTTTTAAGAAAGTCTTCAACATGTTAAATGAACACATCCTTACTTCGATCACAGTTTTCTATTGCTTGGGCAGCTTGTGATGGTTTTAAGTATCGAACATAGCCCAAACCTTTACTTTCTCCAGTTACTTTATTCTTAATAATGCTGCAGTATTCAATATCTCCATACACCTATGAGAGTTAAAAGAAACGATCTTAGAGGAGTCAAAATCAGTAACTGTGAACAGATTATTTCACAACTTAAAATTTGTTTATTTTCACCCTTTATTTGCAAAACTAGAAATAAGAATTAGAATATATAGCCATTTTTAATAATCGAATCAAAATGTCACAAACTAATGAGGCACTAGAAAAAAACCATAATAATGATATAAGCAAATAACATAATCAAAATCATGATGATTTTCATTTTCTGAGCATTTGCTTTACATATATTTCCTTACTGTTAAAACAATCCTTCAAGGGGTGTGTGTGTGTGTGTGTGTGTGTATAAAATATAAGTTATTTCACAGACAAGGAAACTGGGTCTTAGAGAGGAAATCAAATAACTTGTCTAAGTCATGGAGGGAGAGTAAGAATGTGTACATGGTTTGGAAAGCTCCAAAGTCTTAGTGGTGATTACAAGCTGGAATCGAACCTTCCATATTCGAACCTGGCTCAGTCCCTTATTAACTGGGCAGTTTATTTATCCTCTCTGAGCCTGTCTCCTTATCTGTTAAATGGGGCTAATAGCTATACCTACTTCATAGGGTTATTTTAAGAGTTAAATGAACTAATACACCTAAAGTGCTTATATAGAGTTTGGGACACACTAAACATTAGTTATAGTTATAGTCGTCTGCCTTCTAACAGAACATAACTGTGTATTCTTTTGAAGAGAAGCCTCACAAAATATATAACTAAAACACACAGGTTTACTCAGTCAATTCTCCACATGAAAAATATGGGTAAAAGTTTATTTTTAATGTTGGGAGAAATATGGGATATAAATTCTTAGGGCTTATTTTGTTTTAATAGTTATTGAGAGAGAAAGAAAGTACATGAGCAGGGGAGGGGCAGAGACAATTTCAATCCTAAACAGGCTCTGCACTGTCAGCAGAGAGCCCCAGGCAGGGTTTGAATACCACCAACCATGAGATCATGACCTGAGGCTAAATCAAGAGCAGGATGCTTAAGCAACTGAGCCACTCAGTTGCCCCGTTAGTGTTTATTATTTATTTCATAAAATTCTCATGCACCCAATTAGCAACTTAATTATTGTACATTTGGATAAAAATGGCATATTTGTTTGCTCAGAAAAAGATAAGAATTTATAAATATATAAGGTAACAACTTTTTTCTTACTTTTGGAGGAAGTATGGACTATGTATTTTTGGTATTTGTTATTTTTGAGGTATTTTATTCAATTCTCAATTGAATTTTCAGAGAGAGAAAGTCTGAAAATTACTTTTGACTATTTTCTTTATTATTTGTTGCCCACCTAATTCATAGTATTGGGAAAATTAGTAGATAATGGATAAAAAGTTACAACTCATAACAATTTGAGAATTGCTTTTTAGTAATTTTTAGTGAAAGTATATCATTGCATATAAAAGTCATTGGCTATAAAGAGATTTAAAATGATCTTCAAATTTCACTATCAGTCATTACCATAGCTCTCGCTATATATATAGTTCAGAGCTGTAGATTTTTTCTTTAAATATAAGTCCTTAACTTTAGAACAAAAATTCTGTAAAGGATGAGCCTTTCTGTGAATAAGTACAAGATCAACATGCCATAGGCTTTGTTTATAAATAGATAATATAGTTCACACACTTAGGCTTGCTTCATTTACCTCTACATGAAAGCAACAGAGTGGTGAGAGGGTGCTTTGAAATTGTAAAGACCAAGAGCAGGTTCTGGATTCAGACAGCCTGGGTTTAAATCTTGGTCCACCACCTACTATGTATGTGACCTAATTTAAAATTCTGGGCTTTAGACTTCATTTTCCTGAATCTGGCAGAAAATATCATCATTATGTTTCTTATATGGCAGAAAACATCATCATTAATATGTTTTTCATCATTTTCATGTTTTTTAAAAAGTTAGTTTATTCTAGGTTTACTATTTTAAAACTAGATTGAAATAGATGACTTAGAAACAATTATTTAATTCACCACCACCACCAACCTAATGATCTAACTCGAACAACACTTAAGATTTAGTAACCATACAACCGATTTAGGATTGTAAATTATCATAGATGCTAGCTGATTAAAAAACATAAGTACCTTAAATTTTTCCCGCAAATCTTCTTCTGTGTAGGACTTTGGTATCATGACAAATATTCTTGTAAGTTCTTCATCTTCAACATCTCGGTGACTTCCAGATGATCTGGACTGAGCAATGAAAACCTAAGCAACAAATATAATCCAAAAATAATGTGAAAAATCAGTTAACTGTTTTCCTATTCCTTAAGTACATTTACTTCATTATTAGTATGAGATGCATGTTAGGTTAAACACAATGTAATAGGGTCTTATCAAAAAGTTTTTTTAAAGCAATTTTTACTACAATGACTTTTTATATGAGATAATAACAATCTCTGCACTGTTTTTCCAAATCTATATCTATATCTATATAGATATATAGATATTTTTTTTAATGTTTATTTTTGAGAGAGACAGAGACAGAGTGTGAGCAGGGGAGGGGCAGAGAGAGAGGGAGACACAGAATCCAAAGCAGGCTCCAGGCTCTGAGCTGTCAGCACAGAGCCTGATGCAGGGCTTGAACCCACAAACCGCGAGATCATGACCTGAGCCGAAGTCAGACGCTTAACCACTGGGCCACCCAGGCGCCCCCCCCAAATACATTTTTACTTTTGCATTTTTGTTTACCAAGGGCAAGCCAGTGCACTGAAAAAGAATAAGTACTCTGCAGCTGCTGGGTACAGCGTTCAATAGATGTCAGTTTCATGGCTGATTAACGGTGTTATTAAAATATTCCTTAACTTTGCAAATTTTGCTAGTCGTTCTATCAGATACTAAGAAAGGAGTTTAAATACCTGATTGTGAATTTATCTTTCTCCTTCAGGTTCTACCAATCATGCTTCATGTATTTTGAAGCTGTATTATTGGCTGCATAAACATTTGGGATTGTTATGTACTTTTTGATTGATATTTTTATTCCTATGAAATTACCCTATCTGTTAATACTCCTTGTGTTGATGACCATTTTGTACAACATCACACCAGCTTTTCTTATCCTTTTACTTTCAACTGCTTTGTATCCCTTGTACATAGTATTTAGTTTTTTTTTTTTACAAATCCTGATAATCTCTGCCTTTTAATTGGCATGTCTAGTCTACTAATATTTAATGTAATACTGACACAGTTGGGTTTAAGTCTAGGATGTCATATTTTTAATTGTTTTCTTTCTAATATGTACCTTTAAGAAAAGGTAACACAACCATAATTACTGGATTGTCTCAGTGACCACCCAAATGATTTATGTAAGAAAATGCATAGCACTACCTGAGGCTCCATTTTCTACTGTTAGCATTTTCTACTATTTAGTTTTACTGAAAACATCATCTGTGACATTGGACTACTTAGATTATCATTACTTGGATTATGACATTAGATTATTACTTTATAATATAAATTGTTTTGGTTTTATATTGTTCTAGAGGAATCTTAAAATCTCTAACTAGGATTGTAGATTTTTTTATAGAGCCAGAAGGATAAGAACTTTAATGGCTAGGTTTGTTTTTTATAATTTGAAGACATGTAATAAAATTAATATAAATCACCACAAGCCCTTAAGGCTTCTTTTTTCTTCTACTTTAAAGGGGGAGTTGTATACCATTTGAGTATGAGAAAACCTGAACTTATGGATTTCTAGAGTAGGAGGCAGCAACCAAAAGGATAGAAAACCTATAAAGCCAGGGGATTTTAGAAGTACTAAAACATAAAGTCATTATGTTCGCTTGGAAAACAGCTGTCATAGAGGTGTAGGGCCTTGTTTACAAGATATAGCTGGAGACATATTCCTATGTCTCCTAACAGAGTCCACTGTTACTCCTTCAATAAACTTACACTACCTGCCAAACAGTGTATGAGGTATTAGTAATAGAATATTGAGTAATACAGAAATGACCCACTAGAAAGTCTATGTATCGGTAATGGATGATCAATAGAAAAGTAAAATAGGAAACATTTAAGAATATGGGAAGACACTGGGGGGCAAAAAGAATCTCAAGTAAGATTTGAGGTTGTAGGTGTCATCAAATCACAAATTTCTAAATTTTAGAAGACCGGAGTGTTTCAAATTTCCAATAAGGCAAGCAGTGTCTGAGCAGAACACATGTATAATAATTAGCCACCTAATGGATGATTTCTCCTGAGATTTATGTTCAGACTACAGGCTCTAAAGAGGCATTCTTGAAAAGCTAGAAAACAAGACTTTTCTACATTTTAGGTTTACCCCTTTCCTCCAGGTAATGTAGCTGGTCACAAAATAATTCTTACCTAGTCAATCTTTTCTGGCTCTAGGCCTATAATTTTCTTATTTGTCTCATAGATACTACGGAACTTTGCGAAAGCAAACTACATGAGAAAAGTTGAAGCTGTGTTAATTTAACTGGAAATACTAAAAACAATAACCACAGTAACAACAAACAAACAAAAAACTACATTCTAGTGGAAGACAGACAGAGCTGAACCTGCTGAAGAATGAACTTGGTCTAGCTAGGCCCTGTAGTCTAACAATCCTCTGTCTGAAACTGAGTGGACCAAAATGTGAAAAACAGAACTTCAACTTTATTTTGGGGAATAACTTTTCTGTGATTAAAAAGGAGGGTCCCAGTATTGGGGCTTTTACTTCTCTTGTAGGAATTTAATCAAGGAAAGGGGATTCTATAGGTTTCAGATCTGGAGTATTTTTTTGGGTTACCAACAGATCTCTGTGGTTATATTCAGAAAGTATAAAAACCTTCTCTGTTAATTTAATTGGAAGGAGATAAAAATTAAATCAATCTAGGGAATCAACAAACCACAGCTTACTCTTTTTCAATAGCCCATGATCTAGGAATTGTTTTTACATTTTTAAAGGGCTGTTAAAAAGAAAGAAAATATGTGACAGAGACAGTATGTGGTTCACAAACCCTAAAATATTTACTATTTGTCCTTTTACAGAAAAAGTTTTCTTTTTCTGTATATGCCGTGGCCTTACAATTCATCTTATTGATGATCTGTTCTGCTCCATTTCAGAAGGTTGGGGATGGAAGTAAAGGGCATGTCTATGGTCTACTGTGTTGTTGGTATATTCCTATGTTCCTTCTCTTTTGTGGATGGAGGCATAGGGAAGACCTCCAGAGACTGAACTCTCTCTCCGTCTTTCATTTATAAAAGTCAGTATTAGTAGTATTCTTATCAGTTCTCTGTTGTAAGTGGAAAAAACAAGAAGGAAAAAGTTGAGGGAAAAGAATTTTGTGGAAGGCTCCAACAGAGTTACATATACAGCAACTATTTCTACACGACGGGCGGGGGTACAGTTTAAGCAACTGTCAGGTCCTCAGGACTGGGTCCTGAACACAGTCCACAGCCAGTAAGGAAGGACATTTTGGCTACTAATGACCACCAAGATCTATGCGCGGGGTCTACCATGTGACGAGCACTGTGCTAAAAGCATAGGTTAAAACGAATAACCGTCAAAATCACCCTTCCTGCCACGTGTCAGTTTTGTTACTTTTACACAAGTCTGGAAACTCAATATAAAGACCTCCAGGGTGAACTATGAGTACGCAAAGAAACAATAATAGCACAACTACACTACCATCACAATGATTTGGCTCTTCTTAAGGCAGTTTATTTTGGGTTGCTTTCAAAGAAAAGTGGCAGTAACAAAACGTTTGCCAATTATAGTTTCGCAAAGAGGGCTTAATTAAAATGATTTTAAAAATCACAACGGTGTGACAAATCTACAACAGCAGCAGTCTGAGTCACCTCCACTCAAATATTATATACATGCATACTTTCGTGTGGCACTGGGAAAGCGCCCAACACCAGAGAGGCCACACTTAACGTATGTTTATCAAGTTGCTAAGCTCCGTACCACCCTGAGGAAAAGCAAACTAATCTATTTTCATACATGGTAAACGGGGTTATGAGAGAGGAGGGCCAGAGGTGGGTCGTGGAAGCCAGAGCTCTGGACTAGACATGGCGGGAGTAGGGGAGAGGCTCAGTCACTATAGCTCCGCGGCCCAAGTTGGGGCCGATATTCTTGCCGCACCTCGGGGCTGCCTCGCGGGCCGGGCGGCCCGAGAAACCCTGCGCGGAACACCATCCGCCCCTCCTCCCGCCCCTCCTCCCGCCCCCGGAATGCCAGGCGCCGCCCACTCCGCTCCAGGGAGCGGATGTACTACCTCGACCCCACCTGACACAGCTTCGGGTGCAGGAAGGCCCATCCCCTCCCGCTCCCGCGGGCATCCCAACCCGGGCACCTGCACCTTGATGGGCTTGGTGTCGTTGGGGCTGAGGCACTGGCCGTGCATCTCCTCCATGGCCCTGCAGGCCTGCGAGCTACGGGCAAACTTGACGAAGGCGATGCCCTTGGACTCCTTGGTGTGCTTGTCCCGCACCACCCAGATGTCCTGGATCTCGCCGAAGGGCGAGAAGCGCTCCCTCAGCACCGACTCGGGCGTGTACTTGCTGATCACCAGGAAGATGCGGCTGTTGGGGGGCTCGTCCAGGCTATCCACGCCCGGGCGGAACCCTCCGCCGCTCGCACAGCTGCCTGCTTCGTCCATGGTGTTCCAGCCCGGCGCGGGAGGCAGGCCCAGGTCCCCTTCAGTTCTTGTCTTCTCAGGCGCGCTAGCCACCACCGTGGTCGCACACCCAGCCGTTGCGCGTCCAGGGCTCCGCTTCCGGAAGACGCAAGGGTCTCGCGCCGGGCGCTGTGCGGCTGCGCAGAGTGCCAGCTTCCGGGGAACGGCCTCCAGCGCCCCCTAGCGGCTCGGGGTGGGGTAGGCCGACCCAGTCAGTCTAGCAGTCCGCTGAAACAAACGCCGGGTGTGCAATCCTCATTCTCTGTGGCCAGAACAGGCCCGTCTGGCGCACAGCCTTCCCAACCCTAGAGCCCAAGCATTCTTCCTCTAAAACTTGCCATCTTAGTCATAAACTCAATAGAGGACCACTCTAGGATAAAGTTAAAAACCATATAGTCTCAGAGCTAAAAAGAACCTTTGAGATCATCCAATTCCAGCCTCATTTGTTGAGAAAATTGAGATGAGGAAATTGAGGCCCTTGGAATGCCAGAGACTATATAGAGATACAAATAACAGAGCCCAAACCAGAATCTATCTGCTGATCTGCTCGACTCCCACAAACCTTGGGGATTTGAGGGCTGAAAAGGTGGACTGTTCAACTGTAGCACTAGGAAAAGTCTTAATGGCAAACAAAGTGGGAATGCATACTGACTTCTAAGACTTCTTGTTGAAGGGACTTGACAAGAGGTCATCGGAAAGCTAGAAGAAATTCGGAAACAAGATCAGGATTTCGTAGTGGAGTTGGAATGAAGTAAAAAGAATGAACCAGAGGTGGTCCAGGAGCAGACCTCTTTGAATGTTCAAGAATGCAAAATGCTTTTGCCACTGAATTGTGAATATGAGTTACTTCATATTTCCAACTTCAGTTCCTCAATTGCAAGTAGAAATAATATTACCTACTACATGGGGTTGTTGTTAACCTTAATTAATTTATCCATTTATTTAAACACCGAATGTTTTTTGACTGTCTACTATGTGTTGGGCACTGTGCTATACTCAAGTGATATAATATTAAACAAAATGATCACTCTTCTTCCTTTATGAAGTTTACAGATTGGTCTTGTATAGTTAGGATTTTATAGTTAGGGATAAAATGAGATAATAAAGTTTTTTGTTCCTTTTGACTAGCGTTTCCACTTCCCCACTCTTGATATTGTATACTTGTATGATAGCAATTAAGAGTCAGGGATTGTGGGTTCTTACTCTAGCTTTAGCACAAGATTATGACAATTTCTCCTTGTGTTACATCTTGTATCTTTAAAATGGGGACTTTGTTTACCCAGGAGCTTAGTAAGCAAAGGAAGTCTCTTGTTTTAACTTTCCACGTCTCTTTATCTTACCCAGACCAATCAAAGTGAATGAAAACAATGTAGTAATGTTAATAATAGATGAATCTGCAGATTCTAGCAACGCTATTTGCACACCAGTGCCATCTAGTGGAAAATGTATAATTTTTTTGAACTGCATTGACTGGGCAATTTTTATTCTTTGTAATACAAATAACAGAGTAATTTGTAATACAAATTACTGATTGATATCCTGAAAATTTGAAGCTGATAATTAGAGTAGTTCATTTTTTTCTTAAAGAAGAGATAAAAGATTGCATAAAACAAAACCAGGAACAGAAATATTGGGAAATGCTAAGAAAGCAAAATTTCTTTATCACTCAATCAAATGAAATACCACATATGTAAGCAAAATAAGAAATTTACTTTCTTTATTTTTTTAAATTTAAGTTTGATTTTTTTTTAGTAATCTCTGCACCCAGCATGGGGCTCAAACCGATGACCCCTAAATCAAGGGTCACATGCACTTCTGAACAAGCCAGCCAGGTGTCCTGAAATTTAGTTTCTTTATGTCTTATCATTTTAAGCAGCCTCCTTGAGATATAATTCATACATCATACAATTCACCCATTTAAAATTTTCAATTAAATGGTTTTTAGTATGTTCACAGCATTGTGCAACCATCACCACAATCAACCGTAGATGTTTTTTATCACTCAACAATAACAGTTTTGCCATATTTCAAGTCATATAAAATCATATTTGAACATGAGTCACATGTAGCTAAAACAACTAAAATTCTGAGGTTTGAAAGAATGATATTAATGGGTATAATATTAGAGAAAAGATGTGCTGTGCATTTGCAGATTAAATTTTTCAAGTCTTTAGGGGCACCTGGGTGACTCAGTTGGTTAAGCATTTGACTTTGGCTCAGGTCATGATCTCATGGTTTGTGGGTTCTAACCTGGTATTGGGCTCTGTGCTGACAGTACGGAGCCTGGAGCCTGCTTCAGATTCTGTGTCTCCCTGTCTTTCTGCCCCTCCCTGGCTCACACTCAGTCTCTCTCTCTCAAAAAATAAACATTAAAAAAATTTTAAATTTTCAAGGCTTTAAAACATGTAACCTTTAATGCACAATTATTAGAATGATAAACATTTATGTTTATCTCACATGAAATCCAGTTTTCCCCTAAGTTTTCCTTCCAAAATTCTTATAAATTTCTTTTTTTAAAAAACAAGAGATGATATTGTAATTTACTTTTGAAATGCAAGGAGAAAATAGTAAATTCTTGTCGTTGTTTTCCAAAATTTCTAAAACTGTGATATAATTACAATATTTACTGATTATCAATATTAGTCTTCATACATTATATAAGTAAAAATGTTTTGCCTTATTTGAAATTTTTAAATAGGTTTTATCACTGATATTTATTGGTGATAAAGGTCCAGAGTCTCCATTTTTCCCAGCTGTAAGGCTACTGGCTACTGATAGTGTATTCATGCACCTAGCCTGTATGTGGTAGGTACTTGAGAAATGGTATACTCTTTCTTTTTCTTGAGTTTGTGTGTCTTTGTTTGAGTTTGAGAATAATATGTAACACCTGATATTCCCTCCTCCCCTGCTGTAGACCTGGTCCTTTTCATTCAACTTGATGACCTACATCTTTTAAATATGTTGATTGTAGGGGCGCCTGGGTGGCGCAGTCGGTTAAGCGTCCGACTTCAGCCAGGTCACGATCTCGCGGTCCGTGAGTTCGAGCCCCGCATCAGGCTCTGAGCTGATGGCTCGGAGCCTGGAGCCTGTTTCCGATTCTGTGTCTCCCTCTCTCTCTGCCCCTCCCCCGTTCATGCTCTGTCTCTCTCTGTCCCAAAAATAAATAAACGTTGAAAAAAAATTAAAAAAAAAATAAATATGTTGATTGTAGAACAGACTCATAGGTACCACTTAGAATAGTTTCATTCAACCATCTGGTAATTGCAACTATTTAAATTAAAATAAAAATCCATTGAGTTAATTAAATTAACTATAATTAAAATAATAAAAAGTCAGTTACTCAGTTGCATTAGCCATACTTGAAGTGCTCAAAGCTGCTTGTGGCTAGTGGACGGTGCCCACACAGAACACTTTAATCATGGCAGAAAGGTGTATTGTACAGAGTTCTGAAGAATAAGACTGTGGGTAAACCTCCCACTTATCTAATACACAGAATTTTCACTATTACAAGTATTTTTATTGTTGAACAATTTAAAAATTATTTTAATATTCCTATTTCTCTGTCTCCTTACCACTCATGTCTCACAGACGTAATTACATAACCACAGGTAAGCTACTTTCCCTTCTCACATTTTCGTAAATACAATTTTCACTTTCACACCTTTCTGCCTTCAATACCCTCATCATCTTGTAGCTTTTTCAGTCCTTCCTTCCATATTTCCCTTCCTGGCCCCTTAATTTCTCATTCTCTCTGTTTCTATTCATACTTTGTTCCGCATTTTTGGCAATTAGCAAAGAACTTGCAACCTTGCTGTCAGTTCTTACATTATTGTATTTTTTAAAATGTAGCTCATTTATTTAACTTAAAATATTTTTTTAATGTTTATTTATTTTTGAGAAAGAGAAAGAGTGCAAGCAGAGAGGGACAGACAGAGAGGGAGACACAGTATCCCAGGCAGGCTCCAGGCTCTGAACTGTAACCACAGAGCCCAATGTGGGGCTCATATCCACCAACTGGCAGATTGTGACCTGAATGGAAGTTGGAGGCTTAACCGACTGAGCCATCCAGGTGCCCCTATAATGATTTAACTTTTTTTTTTTTTAATTTTTTTTTCAACGTTTATTTATCTTTGGGACAGAGAGAGACAGAGCCTGAACAGGGGAGGGGCAGAGAGAGAGAGGGAGACACAGAATCAGAAACAGGCTCCAGGCTCTGAGCCATCAGTCCAGAGCCCGACGCGGGGCTGGAACCCACAGACCGTGAGATCGTGACCTGGCTGAAGTCGGACGCTCAACCGACTGCGCCACCCAGGCGCCCCTGATTTCACTTTTAATGTATTTAAATCTTATCCCAGTTGAATTGTAACTCAGAAAATTGGAGCTGCAGTTCAGTTTTTGTCCAAGGTGCTTGGCACAGTGCTTTGCCCATAGTAAGCACTTGTTTTATTCTTTTGTTGACGCGATAGGATTCCTGCAATCAAATGCTAATGGACCATTCATAAAACATTGAGTTCCTATTTCAAACAAGAACTGGGACACATTGTCAATATACATAGATAATTTAGCTCTTCGATTAGGCAAAAGTTAAACAAAAAAATGGGCTTGGCATATCTGTGCTTAAGGAACGTTCACTCTTGTCCCACTTTGATTCAGCCAGTAACGGCACAGCACGTACCAGTGTTTAAACTCCTGCGAGAGTTGCCACCTTGCGGGATATGGGAGCCAATCAGCAGTGCGGATGGAGCCTGGCCTGCCATTGGTTGGCGCCCACCGGAAGCACATGCCCGCTAGCCTTCTAGCTCAGGTGTTTGAGGCATTACTGTGGGACGGTCAACCTTAAACGTGCGGGCCGGGTTCTGGCCCAGCAGCGGCCTGAATGACTGCCAAGCGTTCGCCAGGGAGGTAGTAGGCGGAGCCGCTGACCCTGTGGTAGGTATGAGACTGGCTGAGAAGGAGTGGGCACCGCAGTCTTGTGATCCGAGCGCTCACTGGTTACGGGCCGATGCAGTTTGGGCTAGGGTTCACCCAAAGAGGAATATCCAACCGTGCTGCTAGTAAGAGGCTCCCCTTAGCCCTAGCCTGGTGGCGTCTAGGTCCCTTAAGTGCAGCGTAAGACTG